GCGCAATGTATGTAGGATTCATTAAGCCCCACCCTCTTTCTGATGGTGAGCATGGTAGAACCCTGTCTCAGGACGTTTAAAACCTTTATCTAAGCCCACTGATTGATTAGCTTCAGTATAGGAGAAAATTATGTTATTCAATTATATTTATAAATAAATTGAGTTTATAAATTATTAAATAGCTGATTTATCCTAAGCATTATCCCAGCATTATCCATTATATTCTAAGTATAACCCCTGCATGTGGGGCACAAATAACATCATATCTTTGATTTTTTGTTTTGGTTATTTGGGTTTTGCCAATGTCATTTTGGGTTTTGCAAAGCACATTTTCTTTGGTTGTGGGAGGCCCCATGTCAGAGTTTAACAGAAAATCTTACTTTCTCTAGGAAGTAGTTGTTAAACCATTCTCCTTAGATTTCTTTCAGGAGTTTCTTATGCCTAAGGAAGAGAAATCTCTTTCACCAGAGGGTAGATAAAAAGGACTTCTCAGACATTCTTTTGTTTCTGTCCATTGGGTTGCTGTAATGTTGCAATTAGAAGTAGTCCTACAATCTGGTAATGATTAACTTCACTACCAGGTTGTTCTAACTGATCCAGATCCCTGAGTCTTCATGGTGTTATAAGCTTAGACTTAAAAGTTACAACATATTTTCCTTCTAAGTATCTGTATGGTTATCACCTCATCTATTGTTTCCCAGTTGGCACTCTGCTTTGGTAGCTGGATCTCCTAGCTTTGGTCACCCCAGGGTGAACATGCCAATCCTGCCCTCCCACTCAAAACCTTATGTGCAGTCCACATGCTAGCCCAGACCTTTATGATGAGTGGTCCTTTGAGGGTTTTGTTTGTCTTTTTGGATCATTCAAAATAATCCAACAGTCTCAAATAATGTTATAGGAAAAGTTCAGAGTTCCCTTTTATCTCTTCTAACTGATCTGTAGCCCAAAGCCCCATTATATCTTATAAAGCACATTTTCTTTGGTTGTGGGAGGCCCCATGTCAGTGATTCCCAGGAAGGATGCTAATTCTAATTGGTACCTTAAGTGATTTTTTTTCCCATGGCAATAAAAATTTTCCATGCTGCTTTCATGTCTGCTTTATATTTCAGAACATTACAAGTTCTTTCTCACAAATAAGACATTAAGCAGCATTCTCAAAAACTAAAGTAAATTCATTGAACCTAGAGCTAAGCCTCATCATGATTTGTCAGTATTCATGTGTAAAAGAGTGTTTTGTGTTTCAAGTTAGCTAGAGATCAGTGTGGAAATTAAGCTTCAATCTGAATAAAGATCTACTGGTTCCATTTGATTAGGTAGAAAAGGAATAGTAATAATCCAAGCTAACTGATTGATTAGTTTCAGTATAAGGAGAAAATTATGTTATTCAATTATATTTATAAATAAATTGAGTTATAAATTATTAAATAGCTGATTTATCCTAAACAATAAAGCACAAGAATAGTATATTCAATGACCCAAATTAGGACTCATTAGCATTTGTTAATAATTGCAATATTTGATCATTAGAACCTGTGAAAAAACTGAGATTGGATTTTTACTTGAGTTTCAGAGTTCAACATTAACGTACAAATCATTCCATTACTTTACTATTTCTCTCAGCATCGTTTATATTATCTCACTAAATCTTCATAGCAACCTGGTGACCTAAAGCAGTACAATCCTTATTTTTTAGAAGGAGACTTTGAGCCTAAGAGCAATGACTTGTGTCAAAACACAAAGCTATTGTTGACAGAGAGAGGACATCTTCTGAGTTCAGAATGCTTTCCTTATGTCAAGCTAATATAGTTAATGTTTGAGCAGGTGAAATGAAAGTGAATTATAAATGTGAACATTCATTTCACCTTACTTTGTTTCTCTTTGATTACAACTTATGGATGCAGTCTTTGGGATGCTGAGGCAGGAGGGTCGCATGAGCCCAGGATTTGAAGACTAGCCTGGGCAATGTGGTAAAACCTCATCTCTAAAACAAAACATAATAAACACCCCCTTCCCCAAACAACCTAAAAATAACTGCAAGGTTAACACCATGCATAGAGAACTTGCACATTTGAAATATGTGGGGTTAAGTACTGATATTAGTTCTAATGCTATCTATAATACTCTTCACAATTTATATTTGGTTAGTGTTTCTCACATCAGTCTTAAGATACTAATTTTATTCCTTTTGTGTACATTGTAATAGGAAAATAATTCTGGCACATACAAGAGCAGTATTTAATGACATGCAAGCCAGGAAAGCAGGTAAAACTTCTGATAGTGAATTACCCTTAGTGTTCCTACCCTACATAGAAAAGTAAGAGTAAGAAAGTGCCATCATAAAGGAGTGGCATCAGATCAATGTGTATATGACATTCATAGTTTACTTAATTTCCTTTTTAATAGCCTATAATTTAGAATTCTTTAAGAAATGGTAGAGAATTTATAATTGCAAACAATGTTTTCTGAAAAAGATTTCATTATTTGGTCTCAGAAATCGTACTTGTCTTTGTATAAATCATATTTTAAAATTAGTATGTTCTGTAATTCTTCTAAAGTGACATTACAGTAAATTGGGCTTGTTATAAAACTGGATACTTTTTTAGTATAATTATTGACTCCTGTTTTGGGCACTAATGAGTGGATTTCACTGTGACATTTCCACACAGGGATATCATATTTGAATCCTCTCTATCCTCCCTACGTTCCCTTCTCTGTTTCTCCCCGGTCTTTTTCCTCATCCCTATAGTCACTTCTATTTTCAGAGCATCCTTTTATTTATTTATTTTCCAGGCTATACATGTGAGGGAAACACAGGATACTTGCCTTTCTGGTTTACTCTGCTTAACAGGATAATTTCCCTTGTATATTCCAGTTTTGTTCCCCCCTGCAGGGCTTGAAATAATCATTGTATACTTATCTGGTTTTTAAAGTTTCAGTTTAAAAATGTACTGTACTTCTGATAGCTTTGCCTGTATAATGGGTTCAACCATTCTCTATTGTAGCTTTCAGTATTCTTTCTGGTTTTGTATTTTTGACAATTTTATATAATAATATGATGTGGAGAGTTTCTTTTCTGGTCAGGTCCACTTGGGGTTCTAAACACTTTCTGTACCTGGGTGTCTATATATTTCCCACGATATGGTGCATTTTCTGGTATTATTTCACAGAATAAGTTTGCTATGCCTACAGCCTGTACCTTTGCTCCTTTTATGTACCCTTGATTCACAGTGCATTAATTGCCTATCAGTAGTATAACTGATAGCCAGTGTAGAATAGTTTTCAGGAATGGTCTGAAAGAATTGCTTTATAAGAAAGCATGATTCATGAATTTCTACTATTTATGTTTTGTATTGTTGATAACATATTTATTTTACCATTTGCTTTTATAGTGGGTGATGACTCTTCAACCAGGTATGTTTTTGTTTTTGTTTTTTGGTGGTGCTGGGGATTGAACCCAGGGCCTTTGTGCATGCAAGGCAAGTACTCTACCAAGTGAGCTATATCCCCAGCCCTCAACCAGGTAGGATTTTACCAGTTAAAAAAGAAAAATAATGACCTCATAAGCTAATGAGGGAATGCAGACAGAAAGAAATGAAAATTGTTGGATGTTCTAGTCTGAGCCAGACACCATAATATGTGCTTAGCACTTCATCACACCACCTTTGAAAGTTATCTGTGCTATTATAACCTATTAATTACTAATTAAGCACCAGTCATTCAAAAAAGTTGACTAATGGGCCCCTGATCTTATAATCTTATAGCTGGCCTCAAATTTGATCATCAGCCTGTCTGGATGATAAATTCATTCTATTGCCCTTTTCCATAGATTGATAGGGACCTGTATGACACAAAGGATCAAGATTCAGGTCCATAGCAGATGAATTCATAAGTTCAAATTTATTTGTCTATTAATGCTTAAATCAGGCATTTTCTAAAAAAACCTGTTTGTACTTGAATTTGTGCTAATATTTGTAAAACTTGCACCAGTAAGTGTTGTACCTTTTGTTTAGTATTGGGGATTGAACTCGGGGGCACTTGATCACTGAGTCACATCCCCAGCCCTAATTTCAATTTTATTTAGAGACAGGGTCTCACTGAGTTGTTTAGCACCTCACTTTTGCTGAGGCTGGGTTTGAACTCATGATCTTCTGTGTCAGCCTCCAGAGCTGCTAGGATTACAGGCTTGCACCACTACACCCAGCAAATGGTAACTTTTTAACTTCAAACGTTTTAGGGCAAATCTCACATACCAGTGGTCATAGGACCATGGGTTTTACACAAGCAGAGTCAGGCAATTGGGCTGGAGTTGTGGCTCAGAGGTAGAGCACTCACCTACCATGTGTGAAGTCCTGGGTTCGGTCCTCAGCACCACATATGAATAAAATAAAGATTTTTTTTTTTAAGTCAGGAAATTACTGATGAGGAATTGTTTTCCTGGAAGTGAAGAATACATATGACCTGTCTCTGATATATAAACAATTATTAATTGTTAATAATGATTACTATTAATATTAACAATATATAGTTATTAATTACATTAATCTTCTTCAATAATTATTTAGAGAATAGTTTAATAGATTTATCTAGTTCTTGATTTCACAGTTGATTGTCACATCAAGCTAGCACCCCTGCCTAGTTCTAGAAAGATTTTTCTTTTTTCATCATTTATGTTTTTTCTATGGCTATGATGTTTTCTTGAAAAAACTTTTAACTTTCTCTTCTGCTTTTGTTGATGTTTGGTCTTTTAAAAAATTACTGTCAGCTAAGTACTAAATTATTCTCTAGATAAAATCAAAATCACAGAAAATAACAGAATTTTAAAGCTCGTAGTCATGAGACAAAGAAACCTCCAATACTTCAAAATATTTTAAACATTCTGCCCAAATGGTTGTTAGGGGCGCTGGGCCAGGAGCGCCGGGCGCGCGCCTGAGGGGTGGGGCGCGCTCGCGGGGGGACAGAGCGGGGAGGGGGGGGATCCCTGAGGAGCCACAATAGGCCAGATGGCGCGCGCGTCCCTGAAGGGACTCGGAGCCGCGAGGGGGCGGCGACGCCGGCGGGCTCGCTCGCGCGGGGCCGCCGCTGGCTCCGTTCCCTCCCCCTCCCCCTCTCCGCCGCCCTCGCTCTCCCCCGGGCGGCCAGAGACTGCGGCGACGTCTGCGGGAAGCCGTGTGTCTCCGCAGTGACGCGGGCGGGCCGAGGGCACGGTGACGTCAGAGGGCTGTGTGTAGCGATGTGTGTGGGGTTCGGAGCGGCGCCGGCACAGCCGAAGGGAGCGGGCGAGCGGCGGCGACGGCGGCGGCGGGCACAGATTAATTTAAAGAAGAATGAAGTGTAATTCTTGAAGACAATTGGCCAGTTTTTTTGTTAAGTATCATTTTTGATTGTAGAAGTTCAAGTGAAGCTAGAGGCCCTTACTGGTGTGAAGATTTATACAAGGCTTCAATTTGTCAGCACAGACCAACCAACCATTTTTAGAGGGGATACTCCCCCTCTCCTTTTTTGGTATCTTGGTAGTAAAAATTAAATTTGTTTGCATTATTTTGACCGGTTGGAGTCTAGGTTTTATGAAACATCAATGGCATAAACTTTACACATGCTTTGCTTAAAAAAAAAAAAAAGATTAACCAAACCATTGCATTGAAGCTGGACCTCTTGAATTGAGAAATTGGTAATGTTATTTTACATATATATGAAGAATCCAAGGAAAGCCTCCTCAGAAGTGTACCTCTTAAGATTATGTTTATTACTAGAAGCAAAAAGAGACATTTTGTAGTATTTGCAGTGAAATTATACTAGGATAAGCAGAACCAAAACAAAGTTGCAAAATCTATTGGGTTCTTCCTGGCCCACTGCTCATCCCTTCCGATAGCTCCACAGAGCTCACCCAGACTGTTTTGGAAGGGGAATCTATTTCTTGTTTTCAAGTTGGAGGAGAAAAGAGACTCTGTTTGCCCCAAGTCTTAAATTCTGTTCTCCGAGAATTTTCACTTCAGCAAATAAATACAGTTTGTGATGAGTTATATATATGTTGTTCAAGGTGTACTTCAGACCAGCTTCATATCTTAAAGGTCCTGGGAATACTTCCTTTCAATGCTCCATCCTGTGGGCTGATCACATTAACTGATGCACAAAGACTGTGTAATGCTTTATTGCAACCACGAACTTTTCCTCAAAATGGTAGTGTACTTCCTGCTAAAAACTCATTGGCCCAGTTAAAGGAAACTGGCAGTGCCTTTGAAGTGGAACATGAATGCTTGGGCAAATGTCAGGGTCTCTTTGCACCTCAGTTTTATGTTCAGCCCGATGCTCCCTGTATTCAGTGTCTGGAGTGCTGTGGAATGTTTGCACCCCAGACATTTGTGATGCATTCTCACAGATCACCTGACAAAAGAACTTGCCACTGGGGCTTTGAATCAGCCAAATGGCATTGTTATCTTCATGTGAACCAAAAATACTTGGGGACACCTGAAGAAAAGAAACTGAAGATAATTTTAGAAGAAATGAAGGAGAAGTTTAGTGTGAGAAATGGAAAAAGAACTCAATCCAAGACAGATACAACACCAGGAATGGAATTACAATCATGGTATCCTGTTATAAAACAGGAAGGTGACCATGTTTCTCAGACACACTCTTTTTTACATCCCAGCTACTACTTATACATGTGTGATAAAGTGGTTGCTCCAAATGTCTAAAGAGGTCACAAAGACAGAGGCAAGTAAGTCCTTTTCAAGACAGCCAGAGAAGCCTCACATTAATAATAAACACCAAAAAACAGTGTCTTACCCAGATGTCTCACTTGAGGAACAGGAGAAAATGGATTTAAAAACAAATAGAGAATTATACAGTCAATTAGATCCATTGGTCTCACATAATTCTACAAGTAAAAAGAAATCAGAGTCTGCTACTTGTGCAAGAGACTCAAGCAAGCATGATGAAGCTTCATCTTCATTTCTTGTCAAAGATGTTATTTGTGAGGATGATAAGGGGAAAATCATGGAAGAAGTAATGAGAACTTATGTAAAACAACAGGAGAAGCTGAACTCAATTTTGCAAAAGAAGCAACAACTTCAGATGGAGGTGAAAATGTTGAGTAGTTCAAAAGCTATGAAGGAACTCACTGAAGAACAACAGAATTTGCAGAAAGAGCTTGAATCTTTGCAGAATGAACATGCTCAACGAATGGAAGAATTTTATGTTGAACAGAAAGACTTGGAGAAAAAATTGGAGCAGGTAATGAAGCAAAAATGTACCTGTGACTCAAATTTGGAGAAAGACAAAGAGACTGAATATGCAGCACAGTTGGCAGAGCTGAGACAGAGATTGGACCATGCTGAGGCTGATAGACAAGAACTCCAAGATGAACTCAGACAGGAACGGGAGGCAAGACAGAAGTTAGAGATGATGATAAAAGAGCTAAAGCTGCAAATTTTGAAATCATCAAAGACTGCTAAAGAATAGAAACCATGAAAGAGATTCATTTGTGTATTACTGACAGGGTTTTTTGTTTGTTGCTTGCTTTGGTGATTGAATCCTGAACATCTTATCTGCATGAAGATAAATAGGCTTTCTGTCCATTTGTAGATCAGAGAAAGTGAAGAGATTATATATTAGTACATAAATTTTTACATTTTCCAAATGAATGAAATGTATGTTTCTTTGTACTTTTTTTCACTCAGCTTGTTAACAGTAGTATATGGTTTCAACTAGTAGATAATTACCTATATTTCTAATGCAAAATTAATAATTGTATACTTTTTAAAAGCTGCATTATGTGATGGAAAATAGTGATCAATTTTGTTTATCCATATTTCAAACTCAACTTTATATAAAATGGTGGTATTATAATTCAAATATGTAATATAGAACTACTTGAGGAGTTGAGTCTCCATTTTTCTCACCAACACAAACTCCTTTCTGAATTCATATAGTACATTCATTATTATATGCAAAATTTGCTTTTACTTTGTTCAGATTGTGGAACTGAATTTCCACCAGTTTTCTTTTTGGTGTCTTCTAAGAGGAATTTCATTGATGAAGTTATAGCCCACCCTTGTACACAATGGGCAAAGATAACATGCTTTGTTAGTTATGCTTTGCTGCTAAACACAAGAAGCATTGTAATTTGTCTTTCAATTTAAATGTGATTATATTTAGAATTTTTTTGTAGTGACTTCAGAAAAATAATTTCTGAGCTTTTTAATGGTGTTAGTAGTGGTGTGAAAATATTAATGTTCTTGAGAAAACTGATTCCATTAATGTACATTGGTTTCTATACAATCCATAATCCTGTACAGTTTTTATATGTAGTTATGGGTCTTTACTAAAATTTATATAATGGATTTGTTTTTCTTTAAATTATAAAATATTAAACACCTTGAAGGTTAAAAAAAATGGTTGTTAGGATGGACAACCTAAAACTTACATATATTAAACCACCTTATCTGGTTGTAGACAGTAACAGCAATGACATTTGAACTCATATTCCTTAATGGAAAGCCAAATACTGTCCTGAATTACAGTACCATTGGTGAGTGTTTTAACAATAAAATGGAAGAGTGAGTCTAGTGAGCCCAAACATGGATGATAGGAAGAGAATTAGTAAGTGAACCTGGAGGTAGAGGATCATAATAGAACTACAGAGGGAGGGCATATTGAAGAGGAAAAACTGAGTTGGGTAGGAATCATGGTTTTCCCAGAAGAAAACAAAATATCTGGGTTTACACCTGGTTTGATGAAGACAAAACAGGAATTTAGGACATGGATTTTGGGAACTATGTAGAAAATGATATTAAAAAAAGGGGTTTAAAAGAGTCCAAAACAAGTTGTTGCTTGTAGGAACTGACAGACTTTCAGGTTTCTGTTGAAAGATGTTAAAAACTTTTGAGGTACTGGGAAGATTCTGTAGAGTACATAGGAACCTGAGGGTGGTTTACCAGACTTCAAGCACCAAGGGACTAGGAGTTGCTCAACCACATGATCTATGGCCCAGAGCAAGCATAGGCTCACTTCTGCCACTTTTGCCACCTTCTCATTTTCTTCCTATGTTTAGGTAGCATAGGACAGGGGTACAATCTGGCAGAGCTATCACAGAGCTTTAGTTGGATGGTTGGTAACATGCTTATGCTGAGACCAGTGACTGAGACTCCATTTAGCTTGTTTTCTAGGAGTGAGGAAAGAGCACTCCCACTCATGGTCATTGAAGCCAACCTTGTTCAGGAAAGTACATCTTTATAGGATGAAGCTTGAAAGGTCCTGCAGAAGGAGGACATGGGAGTGGAAGCCCACAGGAAGGAAGATGTTGAGATACTTGAGGACACAGAAGTACAACTTATTTAGATAGTACTTAGGGAAACAGAGTCCCACATGCAGTACTCTACCTCACAGGCAATCATTCCCACTGAGTGTCTGAGTGTCTGAATATTTTGAAGTGCTTTCATGGCCCTGAATAAGGCAGGACTTGTACTGGGAAATTAATTGAATTATATAATTTATAAAGTTTTAATGTGTCTAAGAAAGGAATTCCCAATAACAACATATGCATTTTTTTTCTCTTGTGTATCTTCATCTTTCAAACCATTAACATGTTTCAGGGAAATCCCTGTGCCGTTTTTGAGTAAAGGGAGGCAATAGGTACATATTGTAAGTGGTTTCCATGCCAAAGCACCAAGGCTACCACATTCAAGTTAGCCAACTCTGATCCAGGGAGAGAAAAGGGAGAAGGAGCAGTATATCTTCCTACCTCATGCTAGATTATCAGGTTTGTTTTAGTCCAGGCCACAAAGGTTATGTTGGCCTCTGATTGGATTCTTCAGTTCAGCCTTCAGGGCAGGAGGTAGTTTCTGAAGATAAATGATTCTCAGACTTGGCTAATATATTGGCTCTCACTGTTTGAAATTGATCTAAGTATGACTTCACTGAATGATTCATAGAATGGGAAAAGCGAAGGCAGAAAGAGGTAAACAAAAGTTTTCTTAAAATGGAGGTCATATTTTAATCCTCTCAGTCAAAAACCTGATTCTGGGGCTGGGGATGTGGCTCAAGCAGTAGCGTGCTGGCCTGGCATGCGCGCTGCGCTGAGTTCCATCCTCAGCACCACATACAAATAAAGATGTTGTGTCCACCGAAAACTAAAAAATAAATATTAAAAAATTCTCTCTCTCTCTCTCTCTTAAAAAAAAAAGAAAAAGAAAAAACCTGATTCAATATAGTGATATCCAAACACTCACCAGATTTTATTACTTTAAAAAACCAGACTCACCCATTTTTGTAATACATTTTGCTCTAAAGATTTGCAGAGGAACCTGGTGCTGGTGATACCAAGCCTACTTCAGAAGAGAGCAACAACAAATCTGACACCAAGGTAAATGCCCTATTGTCAAATTCATTTTCTTGATGTGAATTTTATTTGTGAAGTGTTTAGTCTTTCAATTTAGCAATGCTTTTCTTGTCATTTTATTTGGAAATGTTCTAGGAGAAATTATCTGATAAAAATGTGTTGGGATTTTATTTTTATCTTTGGAAGCATCAGTGTTCCATCTGATCCTTTAGGCAAGTAGGGGCTTTTGAAAATCCATAACCACAGAAAATTACATTAGTAGAAACATTGTAATTATATTAGTAGAGATTGGGTCAATTATTATTGGATAAATTCACTGTGACTTTTAAATAAGCTTCCATAATTTTTAATACTCAGGACAAAATAAATCTTTAATGAATCAAATAAATATTTATGAATCATGAAATTTTCCTAATTCCTTCAATTTGAACACTCTGCAGAACACTGCATATAGTTTTTTTCTTGGCCACTTTGTTTTCATGTCATATATTTTTATGAGAGCTTTTCCTCGATTTCTATCCTGGGTTCCATATTTACATTTAAACTGTGAGAATTTGTTAAAAAGTAGAAATTTTAAACCTGTTTCTCAATATTTCTATTGTAAAGGTATTGTACTTTGGTTTTGAGTCTTTTCCATTAAGAGTATTTAAATCTCTTAATCTAATTAAAGAGTAGATATCTTCGGCAAATAATAAATAGTTCTTGAAGCAGAAAGTCTGAAAAACCCTATAGTATGATTTGAACTTCTAAAAACTTTTCATTGCAGTGTTTTAAAATATACACTCTGAATTTTTATGTCATAGTCTATAATTTCAGGTTCAGAAATTTGTGTACTTAGTTATTTAAGTATTCATTTTAAAGCTCTGTTGTCACTCTTGAGATACTGCAAGATAGGAAACATGGGTGTGTCTTGGAAAACTGAGAATAGGGTTTGATGTAAAGTCTTTTACATATATTGTGAACCTGAATGAATGGGCAGACAAGAAGATATCTGAAATAAGGAAGTGTTTTAAGTAATAAGTCTGAGGTAGTTAATCATGAAGACTATTGGATTTCTGAAAATATGACTTAGGTATATATTTTCCTTTGAAGTTCAAGAGATAAAAGTTCTGGTGAATTATCAGAAACTAATGTCACAAATAAGAAGCAAACAAAGTGAGTAAGTGTCACAAATATGAAAGTAGGTAGCAGAATACCCCTTACTTCTTCCAGCTTTGAGCTAAGATTAGGAGTTTAGATCAAAATTTCTTAAAATTTTTGATGCTCAGTCCATGTACTATCAATTGCATCTTTTTCAGTTGTACCTGCTCATTAGTGTTCTGATTACCAGTTCTCTTTTTCAGAGACAAATTAGGAAAATTTATTTTATCCTACTAAGAATGTTACAGATTTTAAGACTTTTTTTTTCCTTAGGGTAGATGAAGTAGATTGAGGCTAGTTCAGTTAGGCATTAAGCTGTTAATTAAATATTTATAGGTTTGAATATCATCCGTCTAGAGAATTAAGATAGCTTTTAGCTTAATTAAAGTAATTGATTTCTATTCAGTTGATGTGAGATAAATCGTCCTGATTGTAGGAATTAAGTATTGGTACTTGCTTAGAGCTTTGAAGGCTCTTGGTCTAAATTTAACCTAAATCCCTAGCTTAAGATTGATAGCTAAGATATAAGGGGGAGGGAGAGGGTTGATGCAATTATGAGAGTTGGCATGAGAGGGTTTATTTTTGTTTTTTGAATTGTCACTTTAGTGTTGTTGGATGATGGAAATAGTGTTAGCGATGTTGAGTAGATAATTCGTATATAGAAATATAAGTTTAGTAAGGCTGTTATTGGTATTGATATAGATACATATAATGACATTGCTATTTGATATAAGTTAATAATAATTCATTTTGGGGGTGAAATTTGTTAGTGGGGAAAGTTCACTTAGAGAGATATAAGTACAATAAGTATTATTGAAATTAGTAGAGAAAATTTGTTTCATATGTTGGAGAGTGAAAAGGGTGTATGTGTTCCTAAGTCCCTTTGTGGTCGATGGTCACTCAACTACCTTGTTGCGGGGTGGGGAGGGTAGAAACGCAGAATAAACATACAGACTCTGGGAGCTGGTGAGAGAACTGGCTGAAGACTTACCTCAGGTCGTCGTCCAGTAGCTCATTTTATTTTTGGAATGCACACAACTGTTATAGGGTTCAAGTGGGGTGTGCCCATCAACCATACATAAGCAAGACAATATCCAAAGCCAATCATCTTCTGCCTAATGTAACTGCACTGTTGAGGAAACTCTAAATATTGCTGTCATGGTGGAAAGCAATCTGGAAGGGTCTTTGGCCCTTACTGAGTCAGGGGTTTCATGCCCTGAAGCCCCTGACTCTCAGTTTCCTAGCCTGGTAATTTGGCAATGCAAACCCAAGTACTGAGGATGTGGTTTCACCCCATCCTGCAGGCGCTCCTCTCAGGCCTGAAGGAAGGTGGATATTTTAGGCACTTCCAAGCTGCTCTTAGCTGCAAGCTGTGACTGAAAGTTATTTCAACAAAAGGGTGGTGGCTTTCTTGTTATAATAGAATAATATGAACATGCTGATTGTATGTATAATGTAAATAATCAGATAAAATATAGTCAATGTGGGATTCAATGCAATGATTGCTATTATTCAGCCTATGTGGGTGATTGATGAGTACAATAGGATTTTTTGTAGAATGGTTTGTTTGAGTCCTCCTCAGCCTCCTCATACATTAGACAGAATTGCTATTATTATCATTGCTATCGTTGTCATAAGGACAAATTGATTGAGGGAGAAATTTGAAACATAATGGAGTTTGAGGCAATTTTTGACATTGTAGTCAGATTACTGCTGATATAAGTGGAACTCCTTGGGTAACTTTTGGGTCTCATAGGTGAAATGGGGCTAGTCCCATTTTTAGTGACAGCACTACAGCAAATATTAGGGGTGAAATTTGGTTGGGTGAGTTGATTAGAGTTC